CCTTGAGAATAACCATCCTTGAGGATAACCTATCCTTGAGGATGACCATCCTTGAGGATAACCTATCCTTGAGGATCACCTATTTTTGTGATCATTGACTGGACGGGGTTATATTTAGGGTCATCTGGGTGGTTATCTCGGTTACTACGGGAAGACTGAATGGTTAACCGATGGTTACTGAGAGTAGAGAATATCTACAGTAATTTATGAGTTTACTATAAGTTTATAGACCGCTGTTAGTGGTTATTAAGCGTAGGCCAGTTGTTCATGGTTGTTGTTGTTTTTCATCAGATTGGATGGTTATTAATTTCTTAGATGGCAAAAGGAAAACAGAAGTAGTACTCACCGTTTGTCAAAATTCTATATGACAATAATCAATAAAAGGGGCGTCATTTGGGGGGATCCTGGATCCTGGGCTAGAGAAAAAAATATGCTGTACTAGCCAATATACAAATATTTTCTCCTGACAAATCCTAAAAAGCACAGCAGACAAAAATCTGTATATTCTTGTACAGTAATTTGAAACAAAAATTATTATTGATTATTGTCTTTGTTTTATTGTCTTAGATAGCACATTACGAGTTTACATAAATTAGTAGTTTTGTTATTCATTTACTTTTTCTGTTTGGTGCTGTACGATAAACCACTTACTTCTAGTTTATATATACACTAGCTGTAACCCGCGGGCTTTGCCCCGTTTAACTTCTTAATTTTCAAGATGATCTCGTTCGCATGGCTCAATCACGTCCTGGTTGAAGTTCGTTCGCTACGCTCACTCACCTTTAGGTTGGAGCTCGTTCGCTACGCTCACTCATCTTTAGATTGGAGCTCGTTCGCTGTGCTCACTTGCCTTCAGGTTAGCTCGTTCGCTACGCTCACTCGCCTCGAGGTTGAAGTTCGTTCGCTACGCTCACTCACCTTTTGGTTACAAATTAGCTGTTGTCATAAATGTAAAAGAAATAATGGTGCTGCACCCTGTTGGTAATCCTTTGTAACTTTAATGCTATTGAACATCATAGAACAGAACCAACTTGTTTAATTGAAACAGCTGTTAAGATTCATTAATTCCATTTAAATATAAGTACTCATAAGATTAACATGGGAAACTCCAGAGCCACTGGGGCGGAGCCCGAGAGTCCGATCAGAATAAAAACAACTTAGTTTTCCTATTTAATGCCTAAAGAATCAGTGTACCAAATTTCAGCCTCCTAGGTAAATGGGAAGTGGGAGAATTAGTGATGAGTGAGTGAGTGAGTGAGTCAGTGAGGGCTTTGCCTTTTATATATATAGATAAAAATTCAGATTTTTTAGAAGCATTGCTTTGTCATTTACTTTTATGAATTATTCAAGCATTAAAATTAAACATGTGTATACATTTTACGTAATTTATTTTGAAAATTGTAGACTACCAATTTAATATAGTTAAATAGAACCTTTTGTACTTTTGTGTCAAATTATTTTATTGGTGATAAAATTTGATTTGCTTTTAAGTTCTTAAATACTTGTATTTGATTTAAAAACCTAAATAAACTGTTATAAACTATAGGCTATGAACAACCGTATTCATTGCTAAATGTTGTACAAGAGAAATTGGTCATGAATCTAATAACAAACATAATATCAATACATCATTGGACTATTGATCACGTTTCTTAGATGACTAACTTAACAACATTAAATTATTGTGTTTCTGTCTGTTTAAATTTAAATAAATTTTACTCATAATTTTTTTTATTTGAAGTGCTTTTGACAATTAAAATAAGCTTAAACCCCTCTTTTTTGTTTCAAAACTGCAAAATTTCCGGTGGGGGACCCCCGGACCCCCCTTGTTTGCTGGGGGGTATTCCATACCCCCCCCCCGGTGTTTGCCCCCCCCCCCAAGGATTTGGTGAAATGACGCCACTGATCAATAGTTAGGGCAATTTATCAGCTATGAAGTATAGTTTTGATTCTTTTGGCCAAGGACATCACGGAATCGTTTGGACCACGTTGGCCTATTTTCCGTTGTGCCAGATTCCATTGTTCTGTGGTTGTGTTGGATCGCATGTGATAATTGTGTAACTCCGTTGTCGCACGTGAGCTCCAATCATCACGCAATAAACACTACCTTTGACTATTCGTTAATTAAACTACACACAGATCGTTGCGTTTATTCGTAAGATTTCTGTATACATCACAGTTCCTTGTACTTGGCACTAGGCTGTATATAGATCACGTCTTGCTTATTTGGTGTAAACTTAAAAAATAATTGCTGTGGCTTTGAAAGTGGGGTGATGACATTAGGGGAAAGCTATATATATAATAGGTTACGTACCTTGGTCCGTCTTCAGTCTTATTTTAGTCAATGGATGACTAGTTTCGGGTACAAAGACCCATTGTCAAATCCTTTTCAAAACATCATGTAGAAGCTAGTCAAAAATCCGACGGAAGTCTTCATCAATATATAAATACAAGTTGACACATAAAGTTCATTATTTAAAAAACACAAGTTACGGAACATATAAGACGATTGATAGGCCGGCCATAATCATCGAACTAAGCTTCGACAGGTTAGTTCTGTCGTGCGAGGAACTAACCTGAAATTACCAAACAGGTTAGTTCAGGTTAGTTCTGTCGTGTCCGCCGTGTAACCTGTGTCGGTTTGTCCCATGTTAAATGTGGCCGGCCTATCAATCGTCTTATATGTTCCGTAACTTGTGTTTTTTAAATAATGAACTTTATGTGTCAACTTGTATTTATATATTGATGAAGACTTCCGTCGGATTTTTGACTAGCTTCTACATGATGTTTTGAAAAGGATTTGACAATGGGTCTTTGTACCCGAAACTAGTCATCCATTGACTAAAATAAGACTGAAGACGGACCAAGGTACGTAACCTATTATATATTCGAATATCAGTCTTGGTGGCAAAAATGTTTAAAAAAGCTATATAGGGATGAAGCTATGCAGTAGGTACAGGTACTACGTTGGAACGTCAGAGCGGGGCCATAGAATTCATAGAATACACTTAATAGCATTATTGCCCTGTTTTTAGAGTGTTACGTTCCCAATTGGCATTATCAAACTATCGTAATTTAGCTAGTTACATATAATTTACAGGTATCGAAAAGAATTAAACCAGCACACGAGTCTCTTTTCCAGCTGCGCCTCGGTTATGGTCGGATAATGAAAATGTTATCAAAGCGACCACTGTGGCGGGTGGTGTTATTTCAGCTTTCAGCCATGGTAAACGGCAATGTAAAACAGGTGCAGCGCTATATTATCTCAATTTTCAGAGGTTTATATATGTAATAATCCATGCCTGCCGTCTTTCTTATTTAAATGAAATAACATGTTTTATTAATTATTTTATGATTTTGTAAATATTGTCCAACTTTGTTAAATACACTTCAAGTTCATTAATTGTCTTTTAGTCTTGTCTTTGAAATTTTAACATTGGTGCCGAACCCCGACTTATAAATAATTATGTAAAGAAATATGTCAATATGAAATTCAGGGAGAGAGAAACATCCTCCAAATAGATATTCCCCTGAAATTGTAAATAATAAGAATGATGAACCCATAGAAAAGAGATAGTCAACCTCCAAAACCCCCTTCTAAGTCAAAAACCACATCTTCAACTTCCAGCAAGCGCCGGTTACTTCAATTGCAACTAGAAGAAATAGAAGAAATGAACAAGCTTGAAAAAATGCAGGAAGAAAAATAATTGCAACGCCAAAGAGAATTAGAGGCTAAAGAAGTAGAACGGCAACGTCAAGCTGGAGCAAGAGAACTAGAACGACAGAGGCAAAGAGAGGAGAGGGAAATGGAACGACTACGTCATGCTGAGGCAAGAGAATTAGAACGACAGAAGTGTCTGCTGAGAGTAAAGACCGAACTTGAGTCTGCTTCGGTCTTGGGAAGTAATCAGTCCGCCTCAGTCTTGGGCAGTCGTCATTTGGCACAAATCTTATATATTTAAAAATTGGTTTTCCTTTTCCGAGTTCGTTTGGCTCTTCTACCCGACCAATTTTCATGACTGATGTCTCAAATTGAAGGTATGCATGCACAGATTTGCCATCAAGCATCGTCATATATTTATCTATAATTTAACTCGGTGTGTACTAAACGAAATTTGCTCCCCATGTGTATTTCTTATGGGAGTTATAAATTTAGTTTTTCTTTGCCAAGTTCGTTTGGCTCTTCTACCCGACCAATTTTCATGATTGAGGTCTCAAATTGAAGGCATGCGCACCAAGTTTTCACATAAAGCATCGGCAAATACAGGGTGATTGGTACTCAGTTTGACAAAAAATTTTTGGTGTAAGGACAAAGTAAATGAAGTGTGATGATGCATATAAAATGTTCCAAGTCTGAAAATTTGCTTCCCAAAAAATTATTTTATGTTTTTCAAAAATAACCATGCTTTTAAACTTGATACAGAGATTTCTCAATTACCTGTATATGGATTTGAGTAGATAATGTCATTTTCGTGTTCTACATCAAATTTTGAACAAGAATAATAGAAAATGACGGAGGATCAGTTGTAAAACTCCATTGTAAATAGATTCAAAAATAAAAATTAAGATGTTTGATAAAAATTTAAAAAAAACAATGGTCTATTGCATTTTTAACACCCTGTATACAAGAAAGTGTCGGAATATATTAAAAACTGCCCCATTTTATAAGCTTTCCAACCATATGCCACACTATTGAGGTTTAGGAAAGCTTCCTAAACCAATGAATGTGAATGGCATCTTCACGCGTTCCGGTAGTGTTATTATTTAAAAGGTAAATTATTGACCAAACCATCAACCTAATACAGTAACGCACTAGCTGATAAGCTATAAGTAGTATTTATAAAAGTGTTTTCTACCCCTTCATTATTATTATACACTTTCATCTAAATCTTTCCTATTTGTCTGCTCGTTGATACGCTAAGTTTCATGGAGAAAAACGTCAAGATTGCTCCTTGTTGTCTGTCGCCTGTCCTGTCGGCCTGGCTTGTCGGGATTCGGGAAGTGAAGTTCAGATCTCAACTACTCAACTCAATCTCAATTTTCGTTGGAAATCGAAACGAAAGAAAAGAAGTCTACTTCTTTACTATATTATAAGCAAGTTTTTGTATTAATTACTTAAGTGTTTCTTACTTTAAGTTGTGAGATTAAATTCCAGGTAAGTTTATAAAATGTTCAAACCATTAATAAAAAAACTTATTACTAGGCTAGCCTTGTTTCGTAATAAACGGTGGTACCAAAAATTAAGTTTGGTATTCGATTTTTAATTTGTTGTTTGCTTATCTGAATGTGACAACACCATTATTGCATACTGTAAGTTAGTTGCAGCATAGTGCAAAATACAATATATGATAATATTGGACGTTTATTTGATTTAATAATTATAATATAAAAAATACCTTAAAGATTAAAGCAAATTAAATATTATTGGTTGCCGTCACAACAAGAAACTGACATCAAATTAAGGAGGTTAAACCATAATAACTTATAGGCTAGGCTAACTAATGTGTTGGGTTGTGAAAACAGTTAAAATGTCAGGGTAGTCCCACTTAAAATTAGTCTTTAATGCTTTCTTTAGCCTTGTGTTTTCCTTTTTTAAAGAGGTATAGAATGCAATATTACTGAAACTATGTTTGCTGTTTTAAAATTAAATAGGTTTAACTTAGGCCTATGCCTATTGAAAAAGCCTTTAAGTTAAGTTAGGCCTTGGCAATCATGCAGTTTGGGCCAAACTGCCTGAGAAGCCTACTTTATCAAAATAAATAAATTTAGTTCAGTCTTTCGCTAGCCTATCTTATGCAGGTGTTAACCCTAGCAGTGGCCAACCGTCGTCTGGTGACGGTTTGACGTTGATGCTTAGAATGGTCAGCCGTCGTCTGGTGACGGTATGGGCCGAAATGATTTTAACGGTAAAAAAAACACTTATAATCAACTCAGATGAGAATAATATATATACCATTCGAACCCGCAGGGGGCCCACGCTTGCGTGGGTACATGGCCTAGCGACCACGCGGACCCTAGCTAGCCCCCAGAGGGGAGGTAACTGTCCGGTGTTGGAATCGGCATTTCAAGTAGGCCACAGACATGGACGACTGGGCATTGGGTCCCAGTGACATTCCTTCATCCAGGATGGGGGGGGTGTTTAGCTCTAGGAGAGATGGAAGTGCATCATAATCTCTAACCTACCTGTGTCTGTGGTTCTTTGGGTTTCGGCCTGCTTGTTGTGTGCGACCAGCATTCTGTGTGGCAAATCCTCGACTTTGGAAGTAGCCTTTCCTGGAGGTGAAAACGGGCAAGTACCCGTAGCTCATGGGGACACTCAAGGGAAACGTAACTTTCCGCAGTGTGAGGGCAACGGTTTGTAGGCACTTATGCAAACCAATCCCTGTCTCTGATCACGGACGGTATGGTTGTCTTGAGTGTGGGGGGTTCTTCCCGGAACCTCAATTGAGTTAAGGGTGTCGCCACCTTTGGTGGATAGGTTCATCCGGGTGGGTTCCACTTCTATACCTGCCTCCTTTTGGGAAACCCTGATGGCCTGGCAGTGATGTTGGGTCTGACGGGCAAACGAAGTAGATCGGGTGCTGGGTCCGAGCCCGCCAGGGGTATACGGGGATCTATCGCTCTGGTTATCTCTGGTTTCCCAGCAACTGGGTAAGGCCTCGATCGGGTAGTGGTGTAAATGGGAGGTTTGGGGTTCGGTCCCCTTCCTTCTGGCTATGATGGCGGGTTCTGCCTGTCAGGGATTAGATAGGTCCCGAGTGTTGCTTGCACTAAATGCGTCGGGGCGCTTCATTATGGTCCTCTAGGGCCTTCTACCTAGTGGAACCCAGGTGGAGTGACGCTTAAACAAGTAGCCGGTATCCCTGGTTAGGATTGAGGGGCAACCCTCTTTCCGAAGGGTCTGCTTCGGCAGCCGGTGAGCCTGATGACCTTAAGTCATCCTCCCATGATGTGCTAAAGGTTGATGCGTAAGCTTCGGCCTACATCATGGGGCCCGGGTATGTCCTGAAGGATAGGTACCGGGTATGCAGTCAGGGGGCTTCGGCTCTCATGACAAGAAATCGAAATCGAATCGAAATCGAATATACCATTCGAAAAATCACATACTGAACTTTCGTTTTATTACATAAACAAACCCTGTAGCAGGTAGGTATATAACAATGTCATGACGATTAGAAATCAAATGAATTTTTGGCGTGGCATGACTTTAGCAGCCGACCCTTGGGAACTGGCAAAACACGTCTTGTTTGGCATTACCCTGCTCGGGTAATTTTCAACTTGGGATGTTGCGGGTAGTACCACTGGATACTACCCAGTAATGTACCATTGATTTTATCTTCATTGTGGTAGTGATATTTTAGAACTAAATATTGATTGGACAACCGGTACGATTTTATGAAAACAGCTGTTTTCGAAATTTATAACAAATGGCCAACCGTCGTCAGGTGACTGTATGGAAAATACAAATCAGGTACATACAGTGTAAGTTATTATTACTAGTCATGTAATATGTCATTTTGAAGAGGAAGAAATGTACTAGAGCTTGTGGTTGTGGCAGCTCTGCGCTCAGGGTTATTTTCGGTTTCTCTCACTAAGACGACGAAAGTGTGTCACTACTGTCAAGATCTCATACATAAAGTGCCTTGTATTCGCCATTGCGTGTTGTTGCCGGTGAGTTTTCGCTATTGTTTTATCCGCGATTGATTACTAAATTCGTTATTATTTCGTATTTTTTGAGAAATGTGTATGTGTAGCCTATTTAACAGTAATCTTCATGTATTTTATTATGCATGAATATTTACTGAATAGTGTCAAATTGTGTTTATAAAAGGTTGTATTTTTCTTTTGGTTGTATTTTGAGGTTTTCCGTTTATTTATATTAGGCTATTATGCCCCTAGCACGTAAAAACAAAAATTTTTACCCAACATGTTATACATTTTTATGTAGGTAGGTAGGCCTAATTGAATACACTACAAGATGTTTATGTTGGTTTGAAGTAAAAACATTTGGTAGGTACAAAAGTTTTATACTAAATACTATGATTTATTTCTCACAAAATCGCTAAAATACAAAAACATTATTTTATTTCTAAATAAAAAATATTTTTACCATAAAATTTATGACTCTTTTTGATTCCTTACTTCATTAGCTGTACGGTTTTCAATTTTTTCGGTTCTCCGTTTGTTATTATATTTTGCCCAATATTTTCCTAACATGTTATATTTCTCTATGTAGGGAATTAGATTGTCTACAAAATGTAGGCCTATATAGGTAATGAATTTCCCATAAAAAAAATCAGTAGAAAAAAAATACCGATGCCGCTTTTGAAATTTAAAAAAAATCAAATTTTTTTTATTTTTTCACTTTACCGAAGAAATGCACTATCTAAATCATTATTATATTACTATTTCTAGATTCTCCTGTTCTTTCCGAACAAAATGAATATGAGGTTGGCTAGGTTTACTTGTACGGTTGAATTTTTACGAATTTAAAAAAAATGGTCTGCAAAATCGCCCAAATGGGTTGGCCATTCCCCACTTCTAACATTGGCCACTGCTAGGGTTAACTTAGTAGGTAAAGTTCAAATGAAGTTGACAATTCAAATTATGCCTACATTTATGGACAAACGATAAGGCTCGGCTGCACTTTAATTTACCTATGTCCTACACTCATTCGATGTATCAAGTTTGGTTAGTTAGGTTAACCTAACCAAATTTACCGAATGATATAATCGATATTCGAATGAGTGTGGGACGTAAACTAAAGTGCAGCCTTAGGCTCTGTTAGCCTACTAATCTCTATCAGCAGCATGGTTGTTTGTAATTTGGTTGAACAGAGGTACTGACAAGTTTGTTGACGTAGGTAGCGCAGCTTTGTTTCAATATTAGCTGTCTTGCTCTTTGCAAAGGAAATTTCCATTAGGCATCAGCTCATTCATAACTTAGGCCCTATTGTCTTCTACCCGCCTGCTCAAAACTATTTAAGTTTCAAAGGTCCTTCCAATGTTATCTCCACCAATCAGACTTAAAAACCAACATTATTTTGTGTACAAAAACATGTTTTTTGGCCAGTGCTGCCGAACATCTTTCTTGAGAAGCATTTGAGAACCTAGTCTGGCCATCTGAGCGGCAAGGATAATTTTTATTAGCTGCGCGGATAAACTGTTTTGAACTGTGCGATACAAAAGATCATGTCAAGTAACTTAGGTCCACAGTTCTTGTATCATTCCAAGTGAGACATCAAAAAAATATTTTTCCAATCACAGAGGGTTTAATATTCTTTGATATATGTTACTGTTATTTGATTAAGTTAATCACCTTATTGCTTGATAGCCTAACTTAAATCCTATAGCAATATGCATGTGTGTTATTTAAAGTAGGCCTACCAATTCACAATATGAAAGCTATTATGACTTGTTGCAGATCAAAAATGTCCGACCAACAACAGTTCTTCCTTAAGTGGAATGATTTCCAGTCAAACATGGTCACATCGTTTAAACACCTGAGAGATGAGAAGAGTTTCACAGATGTTACTTTGGCTTGTGAGGGCCAAACGTGTAAAGCCCATAAGATGGTGTTATCTGCATGCAGCCCCTACTTCAAATCTCTGTTAGAGGTAGGTGTACACCTGAGGTAACCTGGGGTATGTTGGGTAACCTATATAGGTACGTGATTGCTGAATGTACCGGTGCATTAGGACGTTTGAGGTGCCGGTACCGGTATTGCATAAATAACTGGTTGTATACTTGTTGAAATCTAAATTGTTTGAATTTTAAAAACATCACACAAGGTGTGTTTATAGTAAAGATAAAGTTTCATGTCCTGAAACCTGAGATTTCAATCATGTTAGCAAAGAGTGGGTTGGGCTTACCAGTAAGTTATTGTTTGATTAATTGCAGTTTAAATTATGCCTCAGGTCCGACATGTCTATGGTTGACTTGTAGTTGAGCCACTTTTAATGGGTGGAAGTTTTTGGGAAATTTTTTTTTTCTACACTACACATTTATTGTAGTTAGTTTATATGTACTCTTAGACCAGAAAGTCGTTTATAGAAAGGGTTCGGTAAAATCAGTTGGAGTACCCTATAGTAAATTTACCACACTATTTTAAAAAGGGACAATATGAGTTTGTAGGATCTACACCTCATTTAAGCAATTCCATAAATGTTATGACATAGGGGGGTAGCCTATTTAGACAGGCACACTTTCCGTTTACAAAACATATTGGAAAGGTTTAAAAATGTAACCTTTTATCAAAGTTAAATATTTTGTACTGTTAAAATAGACCATATTATCCTCCATTGTTGAAATTGCATGCAAGTAAGTTAACGGGTTGTGATTTACTTACTCTGTATATTTGTTACTTTGGTAGGCTAGTGTGGCTAAAAGCATTCTACCCGACTCATCCATGAATGTGTTTTAACAGTTAACGCAAAAAATCTCTTGCGAGGCTGGATGACCTATGATGCTCCTACCGTTCACACATACTTCCTGGCCTTGTGGCATAATATACAACTGCAATCATTGTCATGTTTTACAAATTAGCAGTTGCAATTTAAATGTAGAGTGCATAACAGCATGACTGCCTTAAAGTTATTTGCTTATTTTTATTGGATTTATAATTTTTACACAGTCAGGTAAGAAGATTGTGAGTGATAACAGGTTGCCCACCGACCTGGAAAACCGGGAATTGTGCGTGATTCTGTATTTAGGTACTACTAAGAATTTTCATTTTACCGAGATCACGCATGACGATGATGACATTTTTGTGATCACGGGAGACAATTATGATGTCCTCATGGCCGTTGAATATGTTAGTGATTTTGCCGTGATCGCCCCTGACAACGATGACATTTCCGTGATCGCGGGAGACAATGATGATGTCCACACGGCCACGGAATATGTTAGTGATACTGTACCTACCTGATGACGTTTCCGTGACCGCTGGAATGGTCTCCACAGGTCTAGAATGGTTGATGTCCACACGGCCTTTGGATATGTTAATGATTTGCCGGAATCGCACATGACGACTAAATGGTGTTTCCATGACCGTGGGAGACTATGACGATGTCCACACAGCAGCGGGATATGTTAGTAATTTTGCTGCGAATGCGCAAAACGACGATTGTGTGTTTCCATGACCGCAGGAGACGATGAAGTTCCCGCATGACGGTGATGGTGTTTCTAATAATTTACTGAATCAACTAACTAAATGTTATTGTTGTTTGTTAAAGGAAAATCCATCAAAACACCCTATCATCATACTGAAAGATGTCCCCTTCAGTCACTTGCAAGCTATTCTGGAGTTCATGTACGCCGGGGAGGTAAATGTGTCGCAAGAACAGCTTCCTGCGTTCCTCAAGACAGCAGACAGACTCAAGGTCAAGGGGCTGGCCGAGGCACCACAAGCCATCAAGCGGGAAGGCTAGACCAACAGACTGTTGACTTTCGATTGAGTTGATTTTGTCGTACGTTCTGTGACTGAATTTTACCACCTTTTTATTGCAATGGGAGCTATCACGAAACAACACAACCTTTATTTATTGTTGTTAATATTGCTGTACAGTTAATTAGTAAGGCGGGAAGGTTCTGTTGTTTCCCCGGTAGCCAGACATCGAGTGTGGTGCACTCATTTTCATTGACTTATTGGATTACTTTGGTAGATTGCATTTAAGTTTTTCATTATCAGTGATTGCATAGTTAACATTTTTTTTGTAGTTCATTAAATTGTAATTGTATCAATCTCATAATTTCTTGTTTTTATATTTGTTTATTTACTTTGTGTAAAAATTTTGTGAACATCCATACTTTTACTTCAAGTCTAAACAAGAACTATTTTTCATTTATCCTTATCCTTAAAATAAAAATTTATTTCATCCTTTTAACATCACTTGAGATATTTACTTTGTATATAGGAATATAAAGTTTGAGGGCACGCTCAAACACATTAAATTTTATTGCAGATATTTTGTATTTTTAGTCATACCAAAGAAAATCACAATTCTACTCATTTCAAGTTTATGTTATGTGGCATTTTTGAACCTTTTTTTGTAAGGCAACAATCCAAACCTTGGTAACCAGATTTTTGTTTTACCACTGTTTTCAATAAACTTTGCACTGTTAGCTAAATAAAATTGGTTGTTTTTATTAATATTTTTTACATAGGCTAATCTTAAGATTGTTTATATTAATTGAAAATCTCGAATTATTTCTTTTAGGTTTGATTAATGAATAAAAGTAAAGTAAACTTAGTACTAAAAAGACATTATAGTCTCAGTTGCAGTTTTTTGTTATTCTTTAGTGTTGAAATTATGCTAAACATTCCTAAATTTTAATGAGATGGTTGTAGCAATACTCATATATATATATAATCATGACACCAGTTTTATTGACAAGCATTCAGCATAAGGCCTAAATCAAGGCAATGTTGTCAAAACAGACCTTAATTAAATCTCAACTGCTCTTTCAATTGATCTGAACATCAGAATTCTTCATTTTAGGACAAGTTATTTTCAACCAGTACGATAGTGGTGAATGTTTTGTAAATGGTGATCATTTAAAGCTTAAGTTTTCAGAACAGCTCTTCTAATTTTATCTTTTTTATTTTTGGTGGATAACTCGTCTAGTTTTTCATGGTAATGAGAAAATATATGTTAGAGTGACAATTTAATAATAAAATACTGTATAGAAAATAATAAGCGCTTTCTTCACAATGTCCTGGTCCCACTTTTTTTTCAAGGAACTGTAGAAGCTCCACACAATGTCTTTCGGACCTTGAGGTACAATTCCATTTTAAGACCCCCAAATCTTTTTACTCTAGACATAAGCATTTTTTATGGAAACCATCACATGTAGGCCTAGTGTAGTAACAGCTATGGGATAGGTCCCGCAGCATGCAACTGGATCTTGTTTTAATTGGTTGAACTATTTATTTGAAAAGGGCATTTTCAAGGTAAAGGTACACATTATGTGACCTTAGGGACTAACTCCTCTGACCTCGATTAAACTTCTGCTGTCCTAAGTTTTCAAATGCAGTGTTTCCATCCGTTTGATTCCTAACTAAGTTCTTGAGGTGTTTAGCATCCATGACAAATCAATTAGAAAAACGATTCACCCATGGTCTCAGATTTTGAGGGAACTTCGCTTGCTTGATAATTTCTTATAGATAAAGAACTATACCGAGTTTTATTTATTTGTCTATCTCTAATGGTTTTAATTTTATAGTCCTTTAACATAATGTCACACACCACAAAACACTCCTAGACCCTGGTCTGGTTGTGATTCACTAATAATTTTGTAATTTGAACCTTTAAAAAGGCAATTACTTACTATCAAACCATTTGTTTAAACGATCTTCAGTACGTGTTGTCCAATTATTAAATTTATGGATGTTTACTCCTTCATAGAAAAAAAATCAATTTTTTCACAAAGACAATTTTATAATTATAAGAATAACCGGTCACTAATTAATACCCTTGGTTAAAGAAAGATTTTACCCAGATCAATCCCTACATTTCATAAATGTGTACTAACGTACTGCATAAGTAAAAAAATAACTATAGTTCGGCCGCTTAGAAAGCGACCTGCGCGCTAATGCTAACCAATGCTAGAGGAGGTCGCTTTCTAAGCGGCCGAACTATAATAGGCTTCTTTGCTGCAACACATAGATTTAGGATTTAACATTTAGAATATGGGAAAAGTAGAGTATTAAATGTCTAGTCGCAGCAGACCTGTGTACTCGGAAAATGTTATGGGTTTAATGTTGACAAACAAATGAAATATGCAACATCATTTATTTCTCATAATATCAACATGGGAATTTCATTAAGCAGGATTGCTGCTTCAGGAACACTGGTATCTAGAATATAAATTGGTAATGATATTTAACAAACCTGTGACACTTAACTTGTAATTTTTATTACAGTAATCCGACATATTGGGCTTCTTTCACTGATTATAGTACAGAAAGTCGCTAATTGCTGCTTTTACTTACTTTTTCTGCACGATTTTTTTTTTTTTTTTTGTCGCACACCAGTATTCTAACCAGACAACACAAAAGAGCGTGCGTTTATTATGCACGCAATCCATGTACGTTTAGAAATAGGTTGGCAACACTTAAAGACATTACGATTACGATCAGCTGGTGCAGTTTTTCCCATTTCGTTCAATGTTTGGATTTAAGCTAACCTAAAAACGTGTTGAAAGACAGTGTTTGAAAGACAAATTATTTATAAGATTTGTAGTAACTGTAGGAAAAATATAATGTGTAAGATGAGTTATGAGTGCAAACTGCCTTTAAATAGGTTGGCAACACTTAAAGACATTACGATCAGCTGGCGCAGTTTTTCCCATTTCATTCAATGTTTGGATTTAACCTAACCTAAAAACGTGCTGTACAGTGTTTGAAAGACAAATCTAATATATAAAATTCTCGTGTCACAGTGTTTGTCTGCAAACTCCTCCGGAACGACTTCACCGATCGTTATGAAATTTGGTGTGTAAATTCTGTAGGTATGCGAATCGGACGTAAACTATTTCCCGTTTCGAAATTCTTAAAAGGGCTCCGCCCCAGTGGCTCTGGAGTTTCCCATGTTAACCTTATGAGAAATGGAATTAATGAATCTTAACAGCTGTTTCAATTAAACAAGTTGGTTCTGTTCTATGATGTTCAATAGCATTAAAGTTACAAGGATTACCAACAGGGTGCAGCACTATTATTTCTTTTACATTTATGACAACAGCTAATTTGCAACCAAAAGGTGAGTGAGCGTAGCGAACGAACTTCAACCTGGAGGCGAGTTAGCGTAGCGAACGCGCTAACCTGAAGGCAAGTGAGCGCAGCGAACGAGCTCCAACCTAAAGGTGAGTGAGCGTAGCGAACGAGCTCCAACCCAAAGGTGAGTGAGCGTAGCGAACAAACTTCAACCTGGAGGCGAGTTAGCGTAGCGAACGAGCTAACCTGAAGGCAAGTGAGCGCAGCGAACGAGCTCCAACCTAAAGGTGAGTGAGCGTAGCGAACGAGCTCCAACCCAAAGGTGAGTGAGCGTAGCGAACGAACTTCAACCAGGACGTGATTGAGCGATGCGAACGAGATCATCTTGAAAATTAAACGTAACGGTACTTTCTTTCCATCGGTCTGTCTTAGGGGAAACCTATAACTTAGGCGATACGAAGTTCGCCGGGTCAGCTAGTTATTTATAAGATTTTCAGTAACTTTAGGAAAAATATAATGTGTAAGATGAGTTACAAAATAGTACAGTCCTATAGTTGCAAACTGCCTTTTCTGCACTTAGACTCGTATTAGATACTGAAGTAGACATCCCATCTATATGGACTATCTGTTGCAAATTGTTTAGTAAAAAAGAATATGGTTCTGTGAGCCTTTAAAATTCTATTTTATACCTTACTTTTTGTAGCTGGCCAAGTTGATGGGTAATAACAGTTTCTCACAATAAGTCATTCCATTAGTTTCACTTCATAAAAAAGTGTATTTGTCAGAAATTATTGATTTAGATCAGCACTATATGTCGGTGGCTCACATCAACTTTGACAATTTTGATGAAATATCTGGTGACAAATTTAACATGTGAATGGAATGCCTAGTTGTATCAATAGTCAAAGGTTATACTTGCATAGCTGTAAGCGGAAGTTTTGTTATAAGCCTGCTACACACATTAAATTCAGTATGTCAGTTCTAAGAACAATCAATTCACATACAAAGTCATCACTTAGGGTCAATTTGGCTTGTCAGTCAAGTTGTTCAGATAGAACTGAGAAGCTATCATGCTATAAGCAGGATTGAATGTGTTTCGGGGGCTTTACTTATGTGGCCCTTTATAGTTGAAAGAGTCTATGAAGATTCTTCGGATTCTCCTTGCCTTTTCTAGCATCAATGCCAATTAATTTTTTATTCTAAGAGTGTTTTGGGGTTTGTTTAAAGACAGAGCCAAATTCAAATGTTGGAAAATTTATTCCGTACAGAGTTACAATAAGGGTACATTGCTAAAAATCATTTCATTGGTAAAAAATAACAGTTACACAATACAATAAATGTTACTAGCATAACCAGTTACCCGTAACTATACAAACACATCTAACATGTAAAAAACTAGTTCTCTGGTAGATATGGTGGCTTTAAGAGCAACTGTACAACTTTTGTTTTTTCCCAATCATCTAGAACTGTTGTTCCTATACAAATCAGTTTTTAGATTGATTTTCTTGTGCTTCATCAGTAGTAAAAGTTGTACAGAGTCTTGACTGAACTACCTAATGACAGCACAATATTGTAACATCACATTTGGGGTTTTAGTTTAGATTTCAACTATGAATGATAAAAGTATATAAAATAAATACAAAGACATGTATGTAAATATACATAATAAATGACAGAAATTAGTGTGAGGAAACATATTATGGCAGTGAATAAACGTTAAGCAAAACTTTTTTCCAAAATGGTACAATGCTTACAAATATAAAATATTAGATTTTACTGATATAATACTAAAGCGATTAATGTGTAATCCATATTGCCTAAGAATAAGAACTGACACAAACACAGAAAATAAAATTGCAATGCTTTGCTAGCTGCAATAACGCACTAGTTTTTTGTTGAAAACATTTTAATGTCTGTAAAGATTTTTTATTGTTTGTAGCTTAAATTTTGCCATCCACTTTTTGTTGTAAACATGTTTACAGAACTTGTTTCCAGTTTTTGTTTAAGCTAGGGTTTGAAAAATAACCAGTCTGTTGTGAACTCCTCTGTAAACAAGTTTTACTTTGCAATAATTTTCACTTTCCTATTTTCAAACAGTAAAAACATATTTGAAATGAATTCACCAAATTCGAGTATCATGGAAATCTGCTTGAATCCATTGCTAATTCTATGATAAAAAGGTTAGCCTATAGAAATCTTTATACAATGAACTGTCCATAAAATAACATTTAGCAACAATGAACAAATAACAACAAGCATGGCAACATGACATTTTAACTTAAAACATCAATGCTTAAACTCAGGAAATGCTGGCAACTTTATAACATTTTAAACAAAGCACAACAAATACTATTTAGGAGATCTGAGGAGATCACTCAAAGAAAAGAATTGTATCAGAACAGAAATTGATTATTCAAATATTTTTATTTAAAAAATGTGTTTAATGTTTTTTATGCATTTGATTTTGTTTATTAAGGTAATCTGTGGAACCTTTGACTAGTCAATGTTTTAACATAGATAATATTATGTTCACATCATTATACAACAAGGAAAAAACTAACAACTTTTCCTCCCACAATATAAAGGAACTACAAGAAATTCCAAATATGGATCATTTAACTCCTTTTTGAAATGTTGATCAAGTTTCTATTCCTGGATTAAAATGTTCCTGTCATTTGATCCCCACCCCTTAAAAATCCTAAATTATGAACAGCTGAAGTGTGTTTAATAATTTTTTTTTTTTTTTTTTATCAAAACCAAAACTACTGTATTTTAGTTTTGGTTTTGCTGAACTTTATATGATGTATTGGTTTTACTTTAGTGTGGGATTAATTTAGTTTTTAGTTATACATTTTAGAGTGGAGGTTTGCATTCGGAAAATAAATTATTAGACAAGTATAATTTGTACAGCAAAAAAATCAAACACAGTTCTCCATTAAATATCCAAGCCTTAACCCATCCCGAGCGGAGTGTTGGCTATATATAATATAGCCTATACAAAAGTCAATCTGAAGGTCCCAAGCATACGACACATTGGTCAAAACGTGTAAACATCATTTAGGTATTTTAAAGTTGTTTCTTGGCTGTTAACAATTATTACCTTATTACCTTAATCAATATTGTTGATGTGATCACTTTTTTTTCATTTTTGTGGTATATTTCTGATTGGTGGGTTGGTATCACTAAACTCCTAACATCTGTTGTTTACAAGACCGGCTGGCTGAGTCATTCACATGTTATTGTTTTGCTCAGACCAGTCTGTTTACGTGTTCTTGAGTGAAGTAAATCCAGCGAGATAAGATTAGTGGAATATATTCAGAGCATGAGAATTTCTTGTGTTGGTTACTGAAAATGAGTTTAGATTGAATGATCCGAATCAATATTGTTTCTTGTATTATAATTGGATAAGTCTGTTTTGTCTTTTGAATGAAAAAGACAAATTGTTCATATTGTGTAATCATGTTTTTTTTTTATTTCATTAATCTTTTAAACAGGTTATTAAAGATAAATCTTTTTCCTAAGCAAAATTGACAAGGGTTAGACGTATATGTACGGGTCAATGCATTCCTTAGTAAGCGTTAGACATATATATATATATAGCCTACTCCGCAAAAATTATGGTCATAAAACTTGTAAAAAATTATTTTGATAAAAATGTGTCTACAAACAACTGTAACCATCAGGTAGAAAAACATCAAAATAAATTTGTTCAACCCCATCCAAATTATTGATCGCGTAGTGAGTAGGGCTTTGCCCTGCTGCAGCCGCTCGGGAAGTGTTTAACAAACCAATATGAAACCAAAATATTAAAATACAATAAAAATACAGTATATAGAGTAAACTTTGAAATAAGACACTTTTGATCTCATAACAAACAAATAAAAGTAAAATCCCTCTAAACTAAACAAATAAACATAATTGCATTGCAACAATCACAATAAAATGTAATCAGCTAAACCTAATAAACAACCTTAATATCCTAAGCTACGCTTCGTATTATGTCTACATGATGAAACCATCGCCATGAAAAACTAATTGCATTGTACACATTTAAAGCAGTATGACATTCATGATTCAATACTGATTGCCAACTAAAATATAATATTATGTCTAGGCTGTGGAAAATCATTGACTTTGGATACTGTAAATAGACTTAACATCTTTTATAAAATCTTTAAACCTTTTTGATGTGTGGTGACACTAGTGTGTTGATATCGACAAAATGTGTCCTTTTAAAAAGGATACATTTTACACCTTTAACTCTTTGAGTGCCGCCGTGTCTCGCTCCGAGACGCACCATTGTCGTAGCTTGAGTGCCGAGCGTCTCATAGGGAGACGGTCTAGGTTGAGCAAGAAATGCCCTTGTATACAACCGACCATTTATTATTGCGAGGGTAAACTTCAAAACAGTTTGGGCTCTACAGGGGGTGACTTGCTCGAAAGTTTTTCAGCTTTTAATATGGATGGGTCCTAAACATTCAACCTAGAAAAACACTTCTGTAATAAATAAGGGTATTTAAACCGTTTTACTTAGGTAATTCAACAGATTCTACACAGCCTAAACATTGAAACTTGACATAAATACTAGCTAAGATGAACAAGTAGGTACCACAGATAATACTACAAATGAAATACCATCAAGTGTCTATAAAAATGTCCACCAGTACAAAATCCAAATATGGCTATTATTGTCAGACACACAAAATTATAAAGTGGTTTTAATTACCTGTATTACATCGAGAACATAATACAGTTTTACAAATTGTTTAAACTGTTGATAAATTAGTCTTCAAATATCAGTTCTCAAGTGAGATCTAAGACAAGATAACAACTTAGTCCTAAACCTCAAATAAAAACCAACAGTAAAATTGTTGTAAACGTTAAAGGAATGTTTAGAAATAAAAGAACAATTATAAAGTTTTATCACTTTGTTCTCTTGAGAACATTGGAGACACAAATTTATAATCTATTACCATTATTAAAAATATATTATGTTTATATCAACTTGTTTCTATATTATGCAGGGTAAACATAATTCTACCTTAGGTTGAAAAATTATGCATTATAAGTCCTGTGGTCTATTTCCTGCAGCCTCAGTGAATATGCATTTGAATTTTATGTTTGATGTTGTCTACTGAACCTCTCTTATGCAGAATTTATTGGTACTGAGTGTTGATTTTGGCTTCTAGCAAAGAGTAGGTAAGCATGGTACAATATAAGTAATAACTAATACAATTTTGATACATTTTCTGAAATATGATCATTCATAGAGGAGAAATTAATCTGCAATTATTAAGTAGCAAACTTGAAGCAGTATTTTCTTACTCAGTTTCATTTAAGTGCAGTTTTATAGCACTGCACTCGAACGATATACGAGGTAAATTTTAGTTTCATACCTATGCTAATGTAAATTAGTAAATTCTTACTTCTAAATATGGTGTTTTGGCACCTATTTCCAGCAACATAAGTTTAAGCTTTAATTCCAATTATGAAAATCGTTCTGCCCTTTAATCAACATTAGGACTTATTAAAAACACATTAATTTGTTTAGAAGAAGAAGAAGAAAAAAAGTGTTTATTGAAATAAAATATCAATACAGTGTTTTTACTTTAATTTGTTTATAGACAACAATATTTTTTGTCCAACCAACCAAATGAATAGTCTGATTCTAATCATTAAAGTTGCAAAAATTTTGTTAAAATTTGTTTCTAGCAAGTAATACACACTACCCAAGGCTGCAGGGGATGACTAGATCTAGACACTGCTCGACGTGACGGAAGCAGGAGCTCGGAAGTCATGATCGAGGGTCGGAAGGTATACGCGGCGTGACTCCTCTATGCCTGCGCGACACAGTGGACATGACTCACACCTCACCGCGCACTCGCTGCATGCCACAACATGCGCGCAAGGGAAGAACGCCGTGTCTATGGAAGCATCCATACAGATCCTGTTTACATTGTAAATTTATTATTTAAAATATGAAAATATTCAGACTTACCACTAGTATTGTGAGTGGTATGAGGAAAATTTAAATTAACAACATATTTATAAATTATTATTACAGTATGCACCAGTGAGAAGAAAACAGGTTATTGTTAAACATTTTAAGAACAATTTTGGATTTATTTTTTATTTAAGAAGAGTTTGGCAGCCTCTTTTCAACCTTACATTTGCTATGGACATGTACGAGGAACGTATACTGCAAAGCAAGGGGTGAGCCGTTACAGTACAAGGGTGAACTGTAATGGTACAAAGTAGCGACATCGACCAGGATCCGATCCGAACCCATGATATCAGGCCCGAATTCCGTGGCACTACTGGTAATGACTCACCTAATTGATTACTACTACTAATTCAGTTGATGCTAAAAAGGAAAGTGTTCAAGACAACTTCACGTTGGCTATTGAATAGTACTTGAGAAACAATCAGTCAAAGTTGTATGTTATTTGTAATCTCTGTGTTGTGTGTTACCTGCATGTTAGAGCGTCCAGTAACCTGGCTAGCCGTTCACTAGTCTGACTCGAGCTGCAGTCGGCCGGCGCATTATTAGCAGCAGACGACGTCTCTGGCTGGTACAAAGCTCGTCTGGCGTTATCATGCACTTCCCTGCATGTGCGTCGGATATCAAACACATACTGCTTACCAAGAGGGCTCGACTCGTTGAACATAGATACTATGGTGCCCTGTAAAACATTTACAAACTGTAAAAATAAATCATTTCTGATGGTATGATGATAATATGGCCTTTGGATTAACAATAATTACAATTATTTGTTGAATACCTGCATATGGTATTCACAAATTTGACTCAGCAAAAATTAATGCTGGTAGTAACTAAGATAGTAAAAAAACATCCCAGTACAGCATGATGATGTGATTGAAATTAGTTTTTGAGTGCTATCTGTGAATTACTGCAACAATTAGGCATTTGTACTATTTGACTATTTCCAATAATTTTAACAAGGCTGAAAACAAATATGTGGTAGTCTCATAGTATCTCATAGACACTACACGCAAGGAAGCATAATATGTACAATATTTTTGTCCCAGTTAGTTAATATTAGTGTGTAAAACTATTTCTTGCCAGCCTATTTTACAGGTGTGACAAACATAACTTTCAGGTAAAGACAAAATAACGTATTTTATTACATTTGAATCAAGATCGTACCTTAAGGTCTCGCACAAACTGGGCAGTGACTGCGCCTCGCACAGTTTCACACGAGTAGAAGGCATGTTTCTCCGTCAACGCTCGGTACACTTCTGTAGCCAGCAGTGTGCTGTCACACTTGACGTCAAGTGTGGTAGACTGGTGGTTGACGTCATCATAGTGCAGCTGGAACGTGCGTCGCTGACTCACTGCGCTGTGAATCGCTGTGTAAGGTATACTGCAACAATTACGCAAAATGTAACTCTTAAACTCTACTACATGTTAGTTTTAAGTGGTTCATCAACTCACCCAATAATATGATTTATGTTAGAACATAAGAGGATTTTCTGTCAATATTCAGATATTCTTTAGTTGTAATTTGATGTCCTTATGACTTACCCTTTGATTGTACTTTGCATAAAAAAGAGAAATTTAAACAAAAACCATCACACATAGGAATACAATTTTTTAATCAATTACCAATAAAAATCAAAAATGAAACAGATGACAACAGATTGAAAAACGCTCTAAAATACATTTGACACAAAAGGCTCTTTAAAAATTTTAAAGATTTTTGGGCTAAGCAATACCAGCATTGACTTGAAATGTTTAAGGCCTATTACTGTTTCAGTGAAGTATATATTTGTTTTCAGTAAAGTATATTTTTGTTTTATACTTGAGAGATGACTGTATTATTTTGATGTTTTGTTCTTGTGTATTGTATTTGTCTTTTATTTGAGTTTATATTTTATGTAATGATGAATTTGACACCATTCTTATACAATATATACTAATGAATAAAGATGTTTTAAATTGAATATTAGGTATATTTATACTAAACTGAAGGATTGGTTTTGCAAATTTTGGAAAAATCCAAGTTTGAGCTTTAGCCTACAACGAGTTACCGACTCACCTCTGACAGCCCTGGGTGTTGGGGCAGTACACGTTGATGCCTTGTGGTCCGATACCCAAAGTTGTACTCTTACAATTGAACAATTCCTCCCCAAACTCGTTCAGAGTTGCGATCTCCTTCAACAACCAGTACTCAGACGAGCTGCTCCTCATTCCCTGAAACACAAGTCTCACTGAGTAAAAATATTAAATCACTTATCGATTCAGATATGAAACAGTACTGTAAGAGTTTACTTGGGTGCTGACTCCTTTCCCATGCTTTGAATTAGGGCTGACAACACCGAACACATTGGTTTGTTAGATTTCTGAGGTAAGGAACCATGGTAAGGGACAGACACTTTCACCAGAGTGAGCTCATTGGTGAGATGTTCCAATGATCAATGGGCTCTGAAGCACACAACCGGGAGCACAATGTGGCCGACATGCCTAGTGACAAGGTAACCTGCACCTTTGCACAATCAATTAATGCTAAATACCACATTTATTTTACTTTGGAATATCCTAATGTGTTTGTTTATACAGTTATCAGCAAACCTAGCACCATGGACTTGCACACTTGTCAATAAAATGTAGATAAATAGTGAATTCTAGAACAGCAACAATACAAATAATAAATACATCCAGTCTCCTCCTCAGTTGTACTTAAATAATTAAACCTCTTGCAAGGACAACTGATGTGATAAATTAATTTTCTAGGAAGCTCAGTTATATCTAGGTCACTGTGATTTAAAAATCTAACTAAGACAAAAGTTTGTGCGATCTTTGAAGCAACAACCTTATACTGGATCGTAATGTAAAATTCCTTTCATTGCAAAACTGTCTGAAAGTGGGAGTCGTGTAGGCACTTCAAGGGGGTGTGGCGGTGTTGATGTTGACACCACAGGGGCAAATTATCAGCTTACTAACAGTTTGTTTTTGTTCACATTTGATGTTTATGATTTTTTTTACAACTAGGTAAATTACTAGCAGAGTACCCGTCCTTCATATGGGGCTTATTGCAGTTATACTCTTAACTTAGCGTTAGCAATGGGGGAAGACACAGTTTGATAAAATTGGCTTCTTTAAATTTACGGTGTACCATAGTATGACACATCTACCATAGCCAAATTGTTCTACCACTTCACCTAGACAGTAGAGAAAAAATTAATTATTAAAAATTCGCAAAATATCATAAATTATTCATGCAATTAAAAACATGAACATGACTGTAAACAATCCTGCTTTGATAGTTCTCATTGTCACAGTTTTTTTTGCTGCTTAGTTCAAATCAGCTGTTTTCATAAATGAAGAAAAACAACAATAGTGCTGCACCCTTTTGGTAAATCTTGTAACTTTTTAACACTTTTGCATATCATAGAACCAACTTTTTCCGTTGAAACAGATGACTAAATTATTTAATTCCCTTTAAATATGAATAAGGTTAACATGTTGAACTACAGAGCCAATGGGGCGAAGCCCGAAAGGATGTTTGAGATAAGAATATGCCTATATGTTAACCGGGAATATGAGCTATCATCATGCCAAATTTCAGCCCAATCCGTCCAGTAGTTAATGTGCGATAGAACTTCAAACAAACACATAAACTTTCGCATTTATAATATTAGTAAGATTTATGGTCCAATGTAATAGCACATTACTCACAGAAGTTTGAACAAAATAACAAATATAAGTGGTAACGTTATGGATCCGCTCAGACCTAAGGTACTCTGTAAAGTAATAAATTTAGATATGGTTATGTTTTTATGCTGAATTGTTATTTAGATGTCCATATTGTGGTTTTAGGAGGAGAAAATATAGTTTTTATCATTTTTTATGCAGAAAAAATAAGTAAGTTGTAGAAAAATACCTACTGAAGAGTTTTATTTTCTTACATGTATAAGAACAGAAATTAAATTAGTAAGCATATTTTCTGTGACATTGGTGTTTTCAGTGGAATATACCTACTTAATACAATAAGGATTTTAAAGCTTATGTTCCAGCGAAGTGACGATTGGTAATTTAAAAGGACGTTAGGCCTCCCTTTATGCCTTCGCCCCTGGTTGTGTTTGTTTTATTTCTGGAGAGTACTTTCAAAGGTCCAGTGTTGCTCATTAACGATATAATTTATTTTTCAATTAATTGTAGTTTAATAGCTGGTCATATTGTAAATAAGGGACAAAACAAAAAGATATAAGAGATAAAATGAAAGTATGTCTTATTTATTTTAGGTTTATACAGGCAACAATGTGGAAACAGAAACAAAAAATTTTGAAAATTGTAACTACTTTTTTGCTTTTGCTTTCTCAATGACATTCTTAGTTGTAAAAACTTAAATTGTTGAAGAGTTAAATATTTACCCACAATAGCAAACAAAAACAAAACAATAAACAGCATTTGCTAAGTGAGTAAGAGTCTAATCAAGGCAACTTTACAGTGTACAGAAATCTTTGAAGGTCATTGATAACAGGTGTGATAGGACCAAGACTGTTTTCACAAGATTGAAGTAAACGATTGCTCATGTTTCTGCTTCTTTCATGAGGGAAACAAGCATTTTTCTCTGTAAAAATCTCTATTATTGCTTAGGACTTTGGGTTTTCTATAAGTATTCTTATAGTAAACACAATAAGTTAACCATGAATCAGGTTTCTAAATAAAATTTGAGGAATTGAGAATGATTGGCATACAAACAATTTAGAATAAAACCTTCAGTATTCAATAGTCAATTATACAACTAAAAAAATGAATAAAATTAGAGTTATTCTGAACAAAAAATCTGTTATTATGTATCATATCCCCTAACCCTAGCATTGGATTATAATCCACACAAAAGAGTCATCATACATTTTGCCACTTTTGAGAGAGATTTAGAGAAGAGGCTTGTTTTAATTTTGGTTTAGTAATCTCAAATACAAATTTTTAAAATATCTGTTCTGAATTCTTTTTAAATTGGAGGCAATAATTGGAAGTAACATTTAAAAACATTGTATTTATCCGTCAATTAATTAATTTGGTATTCAATTAAACAGTGTGGCTCTATGAGAATATACTGTTGTAATTTTAAATGAGTATTGTTTACGAGAACTTTCATAAGTTTGATCACATCTACAATTTTAATCGGATGTTACGACTGTGCCCGGCAGTTACATGTATGGTAATGAATGCAAAACACAATCAACTACGTGAGTCTATTATGCAGTAAAGAATAGACTGTGACTACAATATGCGGATACTCCCTGCAGCTACTGGAACAATCTTTGGAAGAACAATATCAGAGTTTAATGAACATTAAAATTAATAATATGCTTAAAGTAGCTTGCTAATTAACGAAAATATATTTTTTGTAAATTGGAAACAGTTTAATTAATAACGGGCTGATCTACTATTTTATATTTGGAACCATCTGAAATAGCTGGGGGTTAATTTCTTTTTACACATAACAATTAAACAAAAATAGTTTAATCAGATTATACTTTAATAAAACTAACCCGCAAGTCTCTGTGAAATCTGACTACCGACTCAAGGTTTTCCTGTGATGCTCCGTCCATCATCAGTTGGCACCACTGAGTGTAGAGACACAGCGGAGGAGACTCAGGCTCCAGATCACCCGTCTCAGCCTGTGCTATCAGTGCTACCAACCTCACAGCCATCTCTGTGTTGGTCACCTTCAGTCGTCCCTCAAGCAGGTCTAAACGGGCGTGCAGGTAGAATTGGTGTCTGTGAAAAGAGATTAAAATGTTTAGGATCTCTATAATCTGAAAGAATTATTCTTTTGAAGAGATAAAATGTCAAAAAAGCCTTTTATGAGCATAAATGCAAGGTTTTTATTTCCAAACTAAGTCCAAAAGCTCTTTTATACAATCATTGTTATATGTATAATAAAGTGTAGAAAATAACAAAGTCTGTGTTTTTTAGTACCAGTATTGTTGGTTTTGACTCCTGGTTAATAGTAATTCATTTGAAAAAAATAATTATGAACCAGCATGTGTAGGTTTCATTTTAGTTCAGAGTTCTGTCAATATTTTTTTTTTATTTCCTGTACCATTTTCATGAATAGTTCCAGTAGCTTTAAAGTATGTTCTGTTCCATTGAATTTGTTAAAATATTTATTTTTTATACACATTAGTAAAAAGAGAAAACAAAGATATCTATTATTGTAAAAAAAAAATTATTATTCAAATTATTGTATACAGATTTAATATATTTTCCACATTTTTATTTATAATAGTTGCTCTGGCTGCGGAGGAAAGAGAACAGAGAAGACAATGCGGTTATTCACTGCAAACTGTTGGATGATTAGGCGCTTCTTTATGTAAATCAATTTGATCATTGTCCACGTCAAAATGAAAAATACTTTAAAGATGAATTATTTTATAATAAGGCTCCTTCCAAAATAGATTCACAAAATTATACAAAACAGTTGTATTAATTCCTGTGCTTTTTAATTATAGTAAAATGAGCTAATATGTAAACAGTTAGAAGACTTGTTTACAAAATTAAAAAGGTTAGACAACTTAAAGTAAATCCACATCAAGAAAAACACACTGTCACTTTTCATGCAATATAAATAATCTATGATAAAACCAGAAGGTCAACCAAAGAAAAATGTAATTTCTGACAAATATCTAATATTTTAAATATGGTTAAATGCAATCCTTTAATTACGAGTTCATGCCCTTAGGGGTTTAGCAAAAAAATAAAAATTTTCAGGAAGTTCCTCATTATGACTTTTTATTCGAGTATGCAGTTGACAGGTGTGCGGCTTACAGTTTTCTCAAAAGCTGGTGTTCCTTAATAGCTTTATACATAGATTTCAAAATAGTCTCCACTTAATTATTACAACGCAACATCCTAAAAAGTTTACTTTTTAATGCCTAACCAGATTAACCAAATTATGGGAAAAGGTCAAAGTAACAGGTAAACAGGAAAGCCATGTCAATCAAACAGACTCAACAATCAGAAGTAATCCATTCACACATTTGCATTGAACACTGAAACGAAGCTTGACTGGTTTACATGAAATCTACTTTCTGCGACTAGACGGAGAACGACGCGGCCATTACTGTCAGTTTATGGGTCTCTGAGGATCGTAATGTCTCACTAAGCTGAACTTTAATAACACGGTTAAGCTTGTTTGACTTTACAGCTCTTGTGTTAAATTGAAGCTAACTTGTTTATGATTTGGTCGATAAAGTATATTTTAAAAAGACATTTTTATTTATTTTATTATTTATTTATTTTTCTCATGATAAATTCTTTTGTATAACACATTAAAGATTTAAGGAAACACGCTTTGCAAAATTTTGTTACAAGTAGGCTACTTTTTTTGTATCCAAGTAAAAGATAAATATTTTCATCAATCTTCATAAGAAAATAAAAAATAACACAAAACAGAAACTTATAAAATAGCCAAGTTTATGACAGCTTTTGTAAACGTATATTATCGTTTCCTAAATTCTAATTTAGTAAATTAAGAAAGTAAATTTTAACCTTCAAAAAGTATTTTTTAGCCCAGCAGGCCTTATTCTATTGAAGTATTAACCTTTCATAACAAGCTGTAATTTAATTATTCCTGGTGGAAACCCTGTCTTCAAAGTACGAGAGAAGCAGGATTTCAAATGAGTTGTGCCAATGGTTGCGCTTTAAATTTGGATTTGTGACGGGGAGATTTGGTTCTTTTTCGTTAATTCACTATTACTACTTTTTTAATTGCAATTCTGATATATTTAACAGCTAGCCCAGTCTATGAATATATCAATTAAAAAAAAGTAAAACTATTCTAAACTAACCTAACCAATCAAACTTGCTGATTATGAAAACATTCTGGTTAGTGAACAAGCTGAATTGCAATAAAAAAAGTAGTGATTTAACGGAAAAGGACCAGAGATTTTATTCTTTTAAACTATAATGTATGTTAAACCAACCAAGGACATTGTACATAATTCTTTTTTGCAAGTACAGTATATCTAACTGTTGATTTATTTGCATATATCCTAATGTTTTAACACTGTTGATAAGCCATAATTATTAATTAACAACCCCAAAAAAATATAACAAATTTAAAACCGTTAGCCAGTGTTGCCAACGCAGATTGAGCCTGATGGATAGGGTCAAGTTGACAATAATGAGTTGTAATGATGCATGAGCATGATTCATTGATTCTGTTACTCCAAAGTCTGTCCTGCCCTTGTACTGGGTCAATTGTTGATCCATCCTTATATATAATACGTGAAGGCGTTTTCTACGAAAGACTACTCCTCCGTTGATAATGGATGGATTTTTACAAACGATGTGTCAAAATTAAGTATTTTTTGTGTAGACGCCCCCTTTCACCAATTCCTGTAATAAAAGTCCTCGGGCTTTGCCCCACAGGCCATCAAAATCCCAATGTATTTCTTATGATGAAATGATTTTGTTTACTTAAACAGACGAATAATTTGTATTAATTACAGCTGTTCATAGTAAATACATGATACACACAAGAGCGTTCGTTTTCAGAGTGAGTGAGTTTTCAGTTTCGATAACTGGAGTGGAGTGATTGATTACATTATCTTTGAGTTAATTTCTTTAAGTCATCGAAAATTATGACTGTTATTCGATTTGAAATAACGCCTGTAATACTTTTCATATGCTCGAATTCGAGCACCAGGTGCACTAGTATCTTCCTAATGTATGTCACTCTATCATTCAATGTAATATTCATAATAGGTCTTTGATACCCTTTTATTATTTACATTATAAAAATGAATTAGGCCTACTGCCAAATTTGTAAGTGTGTCAGCAGTAATTTGCATGAGAAAATATGTACTGACGTGGAAAGCGCCAGAACAATGACAAAAATTATTGAGAACTTAAAGCAGATGTGAAAATGAAATAACATCAATGATGATATTAATGTGGCCATCATGACAGTTTTAAGGACATACAGAAAATAGGATAGCCACTTTAAATCGAGGTGTTAAAAACTTATAAATTATTTCAATAAATGTAAAGGGTTTAAAAAGTTAATAAATCAAATCAACATAGGGTATTCAATAACTCTGACTTACTCTGGGAGGAAGAATATGGAATATCATGTCTTAAATTAGCCTAATATAATTTAGATTGTTCAGTATCAAAAACAAGCTTGAAAATCCATATGAATTAGAGTAAGAGATGTACAATTCAAATTGGTATTAACTGGTAACATACAAAGCTTGTAATATGGTAGCTGATCTTTTTAAAATTTGTAAACTCTATATATTCTGTAAAAATAAAACATTACATCACACCTCAAACAACCAAACTATAAGTTAAAAAATAAATTAAAGAATTGCATATAAATAAAAACTCTTGAACAAAAAATAATAACTCAACAAAATCACATAATTATTCCACAGCTTAAAAATTCATCCTTCTAATTTGGATGAAAATTTTCCTAGTAAGTTAATCAGGAATGTTAAAAAACCAAAACATACTTTGGGTTTGTAAACACAAAGAGAGTGCATAGGTTGACACCACTTATACGTACTTTCAAGTTAACGCTATGAAGTTATCGGTAATTTAGTTGATGATATCACAGGGTCAACGCACTCGGATAACACTTGAGTACACAACAACCGGCAACTCCAAAACAGGGCAAAAAAATGTTAGACCAAAGCTATGTTTGATACCGAGTCGGACTAAATAATCAAAGGTGAATGTAACTCTGTTTTCTGTAGATTTTTCGAACCACATTATTTTCTTTTGCTTCCTTGCTCTGTGGCAAGGAAAGGATAAAGCAATTAGTATGTTGTGTATTATTACACCTTTGGCATTTTTTTAAGATTTTTAAAGAGGTCCAAACCCTGGTCTTATTACTTATCTAACCACTACTGTTACTATACTACTAGTGTACATAACTATCAAACTTTAGTTATACAGCATCATTAATTGAGAGCAAAATGACGAATAGAATGTGGATTCAGAACGAGCTCGCTTGGAATCGAACCAGCGACCTTCAGATTTAAAGGCAAGCACTTTGACTACTCGATTACCCAGATTGATAAAATTTCTTAGTAATTTTATCAGAGATAATCAACGTAATTTTTAATCTACATAAACAATTTTCCTTGCCTTATTTATTTCATCCTTCGTTGGGTCCATAAAAATGCTTTTGAAAAAGAGGGACCAAATAACCAAGAATATCAAAAAGTTAAACAATTGGTTCCAAAAACATTTTAAAATCATGACATACAAGCTTATCATACGAGACATTATCAACAATCTACAATGCCAGATTAGATCAGTGGTGTGAATGACACATGGGAGAGGTATTCTCACAAGTGTTGTACATCACGTGCACACAGCATGGTACACATAGCAACAACACGTGCAACACTCATGCATTGTGAGCCTGAACCCTAAACTCATCCACACTGTTAACAATGTAGCTGTTCAGTTCAAGGTCTGTTTAACCCAACAGAGCTTGATAAACAGGTGAATTTTATAAACTTGTAAATATTAATTAAACAATGAGTTTGATATTGGTACAAAAAGAGCCAACTATTCTTCTTTTATCTAACGAGATATTTGACTAGGCCTAAGTGCAAGAGCAAAATATATTCTATGGTAAAATCCTTGTTTTAGCGAATTTCCCATATAGGGAATAAGCTATTACCGTAGGTCTCATGGTATGACCTAGACCCGGGACCGATTTACTTTTTTTTTTGAGGACCCCAGAGGCCAAGAACACCATC